AAATCTCCTCTTTCTATCGTCTGATCATCAAAAAACTTAATAAGGTTACAAAAGCTCTTTACTGAAGAATTCCAAGTTTTGGAGATTTGTTTTAACTGAATGCATATAAAACGTGAAGTTTTATAAATCATTCTACCTATATTATCTACAATAATCCTAAGTAGGACACCTTGCCTATGAATTTTGGGCAGAACATACGTGTTTGGGGGTCTGGCATCTTGTTTAGGAAGTGTATTCATTTTCCACTTTTCCAGTTATCCACTGTTTACACATTGTTGCAGAAAACCCATTGGCCTGACTTTAAGACCTTCTGTTGGAGGCATTAGACGATGATAAAACATATGAAACTATGACTATCAGAGCGACAAAGGCCTTAAGGTAAGACTTAGGGGTCTTCTGCAACAATATGTAAACAGTGGAGAACTGGAAAAGTGGAAAATGAGCGCACTTCTTCAGCAAGATGCCAGACTCCCAAACGCGTATGTTTTGCCCAAAATTTATAATTAATAGGTCATAGTTATCTCTAAAAAATGGCATAATCGAAAAAATGAGGATTTCTTTGAGCACTTTTTTTATCTTGCACTTTCTCACAAATTCGTCTATCTTATTATAAAGAAGGTATGAAGGCATGACGGCAAAATTATGGCATGAGAAAAGGCTTTAGCTTGTCTATCTTTGACTTAATAGTCTCCGTCTGAAAATTTAATTTTCACAAATGAGATGTTATTAATAATTAGGCCTAAAGGATAATCATTTTCCAAGTCTTTAGTCAAATGCTTGCCATCTAAGCAACCATGAGGTCAGATTACAAAATAGTCATCCATATATCTAACCATGAATTTGGGGGTTAGTATTGCATTTTGCAGAAAATGTTCCTCAAGTTTTGCCATATAATTATTCAACAAGATATGAGCTAGGCAAGATCTCATAGCACATCCTTGGATTTGTTCATGTAACTTACCATCAAAGGTAAAATAGATGCTATCCATGGATAGGTTAAGAAGTCTAAGGATGGAAGCAATACTTAACCTTACTCCTTGTGTAATCTCTGGATGCTCCTCCCGAGTTTGTACTAGAGCCCAAATAGCTCATTGAACAGGATTGTTTGCATATATAGACGCAACATCAAAGCTTGTCCGTCTACCTTCTTCTGAAGTTATTTACTGAACAATTAATTTTACATAATCATAACTTTTAACTGAATATAGCCCAAAATCGGCAGTTCTCCATAGCTGTATGCATAAAAATATAAGATTTTATGCATCATGCTTCCTTTATTATTTACAATTAATCTAAGAGGAACATCTTCTTTGCGGACCTTCGGGAGACCGCAAGCCGTGGGGGCCCTTACATCTATCTAGAGCAGTAAATTCATTTTTCACTCCACTATTTCACCAGTAATTACGTATAATCTAAGGGCATCTTCCAGGCTGGTCTTAAGTCTTTCTTATAAAAGGCCTATACGTATCAATATAATTTAAATAAAGAAGCATTTTTCCTACATAACTTGACCTAGTTATGACTACCATTGTCTCACCTTCGTCGGCTATCATAACGATTAGATTATTGCCATAGAAATATCTATAATCCCTACTAAGAACACAAGCTTTTTTGGAGGGAATCTATGGTCAAAATGAAAAAAAGAAAGCTTGTTTTTTCAGTATGGTTTATAGGTATTTATGTTGCAATAATCTAATTGTTATGAAAATCGACAGGTGGTCGGAGGATATACAAGCAAATAATGAAATGCCAAATTAAGAGGACCAAAGTGGACTATACGAAGTAGGTAGATTTAAAGCCGGATACCCTTATTGCCTTTGTGCTTAATGAATTATCGTAAAGAATGGTGTCCTGCTCTGAAGATGTCCGTCACATGACGGACGAAAGCTCAACACAGATTAACCGGGGCCCCGGAGCGATGCGCAGAGGACCTATTCGCACAAATATACAGACACGGCCCAAGGCAATCCCTGTACAGCTTACAGTGAAGTCAACTTACGATTCCCTTCCACTCGCCTCTTCAAAAGAAATTAAAGGTATTCCAACATCAATCTATTAAGGAATTCTTCGAAACCCAATTTTTCGACATAAGATCACATCCATTTTATGCATATGAAAGCAAGAAATGCACAATCAAATCACTGAATAGATAGTTTAGCTGTCGAAAGTTGACTATAAAAAATAAGTAGGATTGTAGCTATTCAAAAATCTTGGGTTTGAGTCTGATGAGTTTCGTTACAAGCTCCGACGATGTCTGCGAGTACAGAATAGACGAAAGCCTAGTAAAAATATATCGGAGCCAAGGAACGGCACATCAAAGACTCCACAGAAACCAAGGTATAATTCCAAAAAAATCCCTCTGGTTTTTGCTGAGGACAATCTACGGGACAATCTACTTACTCAACCTTGAATAACAATGAAAATTCATTTCTGTCGCAATGAAATGTGCAGGCCTCACGATACAATTGCATTTCACTTAGCTTTATCAAAGGTTTCCTCATTAAGGACAGAATAATTTTCATCAGCAGCCTCAACAGCGTACGAAATTGGGTCGTAAGCACAAAGTTGCGAGACGTTACTACTTGTCACAAAACTGCGGATATCAGTGGACAACGGAGCAGATGCGACGCAAGCCAGGCCTCGGCAAAACCACGTTTGGTATCGGTGATGATGCACGCTCGTATTCGACGGCTTCAAGACGGAGAGTCGTGGACCAAGACGTTTGGCCGTGTTCTCAGAAATATCAGTCAAATATAACTATATCTATCTATCTATCTATCTATCTCCCTAGATATATATATCATCCTGTATTTACCCACAGCCGCCATGGCTACCAATCCCCAGTCTTAGGTTTTACTTCCACCTGCCCCTGATTCGGCTCTTCGTACACCTCCGTTTCCAGATCGGGCTGAGCATCTGGCTAGCGAAATAGATGCCCACTTACATGAGTAAAGTGTCAGGCATCCCAAACCGAAACGTCTATTAAGCTAAGCGTGAAGGTAAAGTGAAGGATATGGGGGCCCTGGAATCTTTGTTTTTAACACATATATGATGTATACTGGCACATAAGCCTGAGGAAAATCACACGCATATTTCAAGTATGGTTGGGCGTTATGAAATTATGCAATCTATAGATAAGCACATCAAATGAAGCATTTTTTAATATTATAGTTTTTTATTTTTAAACAAAATATGATTAGTAATAAACTTTGTTATTTGTAAACAATACTTATCCTATGTTTTGGCACTAAGTCACTTATTCAAATCCGCAGGTAGGATAGAGTATCTGGCTCTGTAATGGAACGATCATTCACTCATTTTCGGGTTCAGTCATGTGAATATATCACTGAATACGACGAAGACGGTGACAGAAAAGCTAAAAGAATAGCCAAATAAACTCCATGGGAGTTAAACAAAATATCCCTAAAATTAACTCCCTTATATTCGGGCAATAAGTACTATATAACATGTTATGAACGAAGATTAGATGGACGTATGATGTGCCCACACTTTATAGCAATATAAATAGCTTACCTGGGTAGGCGCACATGAAGCTACTTATCATGTTCTCTGCCTCTTGTCGAGTAATGTCCATCTCCTGT